CAAGAGCCCGTTTGCGAGGTGGCTGTGGGTGGGGGCTGTGGCCGAGCCGTCTGACTTCGGCCTCTGGCTTCTCCTTCAAGAGGCTCGTCGGCGCGGCCTTGCGTGCTCCTCCAAGGCGGGCTGCACGAGCCTTTTGGTGCTTTTCGCGACGTCAGGCTCCGAAATGCTCTGGCGAGGTACGGGTGGTTTTTTTCATACTATAAAGATATGCGTTTCAAGTTTATTTCAGGACTTCCAAAATATTTTAAAGGTGGCTGGTTATACTTTGGGCGTTTTACATAGAATGAAAGGTACCATATCTCATCCCATTCTTCAGCAGTTTTTGTTTTTAACTTAGAGGGCCATCTGGTTTTAAGATCCTTATTGGCCATCGGGAACGCTAAACCTTCAGTCCGGGGTTATTTACTCCCTTAGACACTCAGTTTGTTGTTGTTGCTTTTTAAAAAAAATGTTCTCCCATTAGAAATACCTGCTCTCTGGGAAGACTCATTGGAACCGAAGGATAAATGGTTGGTAGCAGGTTAAAATAGTGTTCTTCTGGAAGGAATTCTCTTTTACAAGGAATCAAAATTGTAACAGTCTTTAATCGCTGATACGTGGGCTTGTCTTATATACACTTACGCATTAGGAATTCAGCAAAAACGTACTGAAATCTCCACCCAGAAACTGCCCTCTTAAGCCAATGAGAGCGCTTTTGAGCAAGCGACTCTCCCAGAGGCTCTTGTCATGCCCAAGCAGAGGACTCTGCCGAGGCAGGCTGTGAAGAGTCAAGAGGAGTAAGTAGTGCAGCCGTCACGGTTGCCCACGTGCCCTCCGGAGGCGCCACGGCGGACCAGTGCAAAAAAGCCGTCCGTCATCCAAACACAACTTGTATATGAGCGTGTACGATTTTGTGATTCTCGACGGGAACGGCCATGCTCTGAAGAATGAACTTACCAATAGCCAGAAAGTTGTCCCGCTTCCCGGTTCTTTTTTCCTGTTCAGTTTTATGGCTTTTGTTCCACACTAGAGAAAGACAGAATTACCTTTCAGACTTGCAAAATATGATCCCAAAGGAAAGATTTTTCTTTATTCGAATGTATTCATACTTTACTTAGCTATAGGGGGTGGGAGGCAGTGCGTCCTGAAGCCTTTCATTCGGTTTTTGCTGAACCTTAGGCTGAGTATAAGCCAGTAAACAGTATCTAAGAGAACCGTTAGTGGTATTTCTGAGAGGAAGCCAAAGGTAAGATATCGATGAGTAAATTAAAATATAGCTTAACTGCCTTCATAGAATTAGTCTGTTGCTGAGTTTTTGTGGGCTCGTTTGTATTTAATACAGTGCTCATCAGATACCTTGTTAAAATAAGAAACAAGTTTCTTTTCAGTTTTTAAAAGCAAATGACTTCTTTATTATAACATCACCCTTAAATCGATATTTTCTCCACTAGTCTGCTTTTTTACTTTTTAAGGGGAGAAAATAAGAAATAATTCCAACTCAAAAAATAATAATAATAATTTCCTTGTACAACTTCATCCTCATTTCTTATACTTACCTTTGAAAAGCAGTCGCTTCCCGATAGCCGTTTCTCTACATGGATTGGCTATCTTAGTCTCAGTAGGGCAGGTGGGAGTCACATGAAGGAAGCCCAGCTGAGTGTGGAGCTCAGGCCGGGCGACTGGAAACTGCACTCTTCCGCTTGGCCTTCCTGCTCCTTCTCACTGTACCACACACCTCTCTTCCCCATTCCTTCTGACCTCTTCCTTCCCTGCCTCTCAGTGTTTTTCAAAAAGATTTAAAATAGAGCCAGGCTCGGTGGCTCAGCTTGTAATCCCAGGGCTTTGGGAGACTGAGGTGAGTGGATTGCCTGAGCCCGCGGGTTCGAGACCCGCTTGGGCAACTTGGCGAGACCTCATCTCTACAGTAAATCAAAAATGCGCCAGGCGTGGTAGCAGGCGCCTGTAGTTCCAGCTACTTGGAAGGCTAAAGCAGAAGAGTCGCCGGAGCCCAGCGGGTTGAGGCTGCTGTGGCTGGGAGTGGCCACTGGACTCCAGTCTGGGTGACAGTGAGACGCCAACTCAAAAAAAAAAAAAAAAAAAAAGATTTAAAATAAAGTATGTGTAATTAGAAAGGAAGTCGATTATGTTGAATTTGTTATGAAAATATGAAAACAATTTTGTGATATAGTAACATGTATTAATGTACTTAAAATAAGACACATTTAAAAATACATATAAGTTGCACTTCATTTTATAAAAACATGTATCAGTGTGGAGGTTTTTTGCATAGCTTGAATAAAAACACTAGAGCACAGAGTCGTTTTTTACTTAACCTCTTTTCACATTTTGGTCAACACTTAAAGAAAGGGACTCCTACTCATGCCTGTGATCCCAGCTGAGAGATGAAGGTGAGAGGTTTGCCTGAGCTCAGGGGTTTGAGGCCAGCCTGGACAACTTGGCGAGACCTCATCTCTACAATAAATAGAAAAATAAGCCGGGTGTGGTGGCGCATGCCTGTAGTTCCAACTACTTGGAGGACTGAGGTGGAAGGATTGGCTGACCCCGGCAGGTCGAGGCTGCTGTGGCCATGAGTGTGCCATTGCACTCCATCTAGCCCGGGTGATAGAGTGAGACTTCAACTTAAAAAAAAAAAAAGCAGGACTCCTGGAAAGCATTGATGTCTGGATTACCAACAAGACCTCACTGTTTGGGGGAATGAACAGCTAGGAAGAAAGTTGTTACATCACATGGACTTCTAGACTGTAGACAGAAAAGCTTAGATCTCATGTTTCAGCAGTAGGCTTAATAACTCAGTGTAACTGTTAACTATTACAACTTTGAAGTAGCGATGGGTAATAAAATATTTTGAGATACCTGCAATAACTGTTACGTGATATAAAAAATCTGTGAATATTATGGAATACTAGGTGACACATATTGGTCTATTGTTTGCATTCATAATGGAAGGAAATGCTAGTGTTTGTTGAAAATAAAGGTAAGTCCCCTTCTAGTTTTACAGACTTCTAAACCCAAGAGATCTGTGGCCTCAGGGTTTACAACCCCTTCTCCTGGGGTTGTAAACAGTAAGGTAGGGCTGTAGCCACTTTTTCTTCCTCTTGAATCAGATAACAAGGCTAAAAAGAAAAAGGAAGTAAGTCCTAAGTATATTTACAGATTATCTTCTTTTTTCTTAAGTGTATGTCTTCAGTGGGAAAAATAATTCTTTAGCCAGAGAGATATTACCATAGATTATAGAAATGATAGAGTCTTTTAAAAATTTTATTTTCTCCCGATTGCTTAGTAACTTTGGGTGAGTTATTGTCTTTTAGTCAGTGAAGATGAGAATCTCAAAAATTAACTGAAGGTGCCAAAAAAAAAAAGGTGGAAGAGTTCAGGTTCTCTCATTACATTTGCGTATAAGTGTCCAAGAAGTGTAGAGTACAGGGAAATAGATACACATGTAGTAATTAACACTACTAGTTTCCTCCCATGTCTTTGTCCTGAGCAAAGTGAAATATCTATTTTATTTAATGTGCATTTATTGAGCCTCTACTGTGTGTTAGAGACAATAGATTAGGGTGTTGTGGTCACTACCTTTCAGTTCACCAGAGAAATGGAAATTACTAACATTAGAGATCATTGTACATCTTAACAATAATGTCACTCTGTTTTTCTTAGTATTTCCCTTAATTATCAAATACCTGAAATATGATTCATTAACTGACATTTTCTGACTGGTCCTCAAAGAGCTGGAAAATAGCGAAGAGAAAACTGGAAGAATATAATTAGCTGAAGCCTGGAAACTTAAAGGCTTCTCTCTTCTTGGTTGAGGAAAACTGAATTTTCTCCATGTGAACTGCCATACAATTTTGGCTTTATTTTTAGAGAAAACCCTAGCTGTTGGTATAATACCACATTCAACTTTATTTGGGAAGTCATTAGTTGACATTCAATAAAAGTAAGTTTCATTAAGAATTTTAACTGATCATTAAATGACATTAAAAAAATTAGCTGTCTTGAGTGTAAATGTTAATGAATTATATATTTTCTATAATGATACAGCATACCAAAAGAAAAAGTGTCATTGTGCAGAGCTGTGGGAAAATTACTCGAAAAAAGTTTTGTTAAATGTGATACAAATGATACCTATTGTTTCTTAGTAGGCCACTTGGCAGATTAACTTTTTAAATAATTGTCAAAAACTATAATTTTTAAGGTAAATGCTTATGGAACTTTAGGTAAGTTATTTTAAGGACTAATACTCAACATTTGATTTCTATCAATTCATTTCTCATACTCATTTTTGAAAATAAACAGTGTAATCACCATTTTCTGTTGTCTGCATTGGCTGTTCAGTTCTTAATAATTGGTTTATGATGTGTTTTATACTTTTTAACAAAGGGCTTTGCACCATTTATCTCGCCTGAGAGACCTAGTTGATGATTCCAGTGGAAAACAGTCACCGAAAATGTGAAGAGGAAAATAAAATCTTCACCACAACAAATAGTCACCATGGAACAAATATGTATTTTTTTCTGTTACTTAAACTGACAAAGTAATTATAAGCAATATATTATTTTGTGGTTGGTTCAAATGTTATATTTCTAAAAAAGTCAACTTTGAAAATATCCACAGGTTTTGTGATCTATCCTTATTTTGTGCCAAAATACTACCGTGTGAACTAGAAGGACCCACGTTATACACTAAAGTCTTACTTTGGGCTTCAAGCCAGCAAATGGCCACTATTCAAAGATGGAGCACTTCTGTTCTTGAGGCTTACCTGGACTTGACCTTCTTCAGCTTCGTCATCATTTTAAGAAACTTTCTGGTTTCTATGTGAAATCTAACTTAAGCAGACTTTTTGGGATACAGTTGGCATCACTTTTAAGCAGCTTGAAGAAATATAAACATTGTGTATCTTATTCATATGGGAGTGTTAACTTTTAAGTTTTCATAAATCATATATAGTTTACAAATGACAATTTAATAGTGGTACGGTGCTAAAAGAAATACTGTTTGATGTTACATTCAAGAGAACCTTCTTATTTAATGCTTGTGTGAGATAATCCTGATAATATGTGAGTGTTTACAAATGATATTTTGGAGAGATACTTGCCAATTTAATATTTTGATATTAGACTATTCCCCAGATTTTAGTTTTGGGGTTAGTTCAAACTAGTGAAAACTATCAGTGGCCAATTGCTTTATGAAATTTGATAACTAAATTGAAAGAAAATATGAAGAATCAGAAAGCAACTTTGTATTTCAAAGCTATTTTGTAAGGGTTGAGCTTTCTCTAAAGCAATCTGTAGTCTTCAAAGTTTGTCTCTAGCTAGCTAGAACTAAAAAACGCTCTGTAATTTTGCAGTTTTTACCAAGCAGGAATTGTTAATGTTTCTAATAGGTAGGAAGCATCTTTAGTAATGAAACTGAGAAGTCCTAAAGCATAACTAATACCGCACGCTAGGAAAGCCTGATAATATTAAAGAATGTGTATATGTACAAATTGACACTTCACCCAAATGGCAGCGTTTTTGCTAAATTGGTTTACTATGAAATACAAATTTCCAAACATATTAAGTCAAATAATTTTTTAAAATATTAAGCATCATTTAACATTTGTTGTGAAACTGACATATCAAATGAGCATGAGCCTTGGGTTGTTTGGGGGGTTTTTTGTTTTTGAACCAGTGAGCTTTTCACGATATTGCTCTGGCTTTTTTCAGAGGCACTTGCCTGTAGCTTTGTTTTCTTTATGGAGATCTTTTTGCCACTGATGTTCTGTTTTCTCAATGCTTCACAGCAAATTGCTTGTGTAATCGAAAAGGAATTAAATTGAAAATTGTCTAGCTGTTAAAAATGCAGATTTTAGCAAGTGGGCGATGTCAGGTGGGTCTGGGTTGGTCATGTTCCAGGCCTAGCAAAATCCAGAGAAGATGAAGATGTGAGGCAATAACTTCTAACTGCATGTTAGTCATGTGTTGATAATACTATGCTGTACCTGAAAAGCATCTCCAAAGAGATTATGACTGAGTAGCACTGACTTGGTTAATGCTCCTGTTTCCAAAACCTATCTCCAATATTAAAGGAGATGAGCCTGTTCCAAAGTTTTATAGAATAACTAATATTTTCATAAGAAACTTGCTTTTACTTGCCAAAGGAGCATTAATTTTTCCTCTTGTGTTAATATGGAAACATTTAGTTTTTTTATCTAACAGGAATTAATTTTAGTAAAGTTATTAATTCCCAACTTAAAGGAATATCTAGGGGAGTTGACTAAGAAAATGACAAACCTAGATTGTAAACATTAAAGAAATTCTCTAAAGATGTGATTTTATTGCAAGTTGAATATTTCAGAATTTACTTAGGTGTCCAGGGAAAGAGTATGACAACAATATGGAGACTGCTAAATTGAAAATTTAGCGCAGGTTGTTTGAATAATTAGATTTTTAAAATTGCACTGTGAATGTAAAATTTTATCCAATTTTGTCTCTTTTAGATAGACTTAAAAACTGTTAAATAGAAAAATTAAGAAATTTTAATAAGATACTTCAGATTTTTGATTGAGTATGAAACAAAACAGCCTAATTCCAAAAATCATTTGCGATCGAGGGATAATGGTGTGACCAAGATAAGAGTCAGGACTAAAATGTATCGTCTTTAAAATCATTAAGAACTCTACTTCCAGCTTTTTCTGGAACAGTTCACTTCACCGTCATCGAGATTGCTGACCAAATTGAGGAACTCTATTTTCTTGGGTTTGTTTTGGTTGTATGTCTCTGGTTATGCTATTGTTGAAATGTATACATTTATAATGTGAGTTTTTTTGTATTTGATGGTTTATGATAATGTCTTATTATTTATACTAAAATGTTGCCTGAAGATAAATCATGGCAAGGTTCCTTGTTTATGCATGTGTTTTAAATAACTTGGAATTGCTCTTATAGATTTGAATTTTTGTTTTCTTTTTTCCTATACCACCCTTCACTTTGTATATCCCAAAACCTATTGGTGAAAGTGCTATCCAGAAGTGAACTTGTCCAAAGGCAAGTAGCATGAAAGACAAAAAAAGCAAAAGGTCAAGCAAAATTAATCATTTCTGGGCAACTGAATTTTCTTCAAATGTGCAAGACTATATGTGTCTATTCCATGTATAGATCGGATGCTTCATACCCGATTATTTTTGTGTTGGATTGCAGTGCCTGTCATAATCATTGAGGATGGGTGTAAATCTAGGCCCAACCTGACCACGTTATATAGCAGGTTATATCGTTAGGTATTTTTCCTGCGATATTTGAAATTATTCCTTTTCCATTTCCTTTTTCTTTCCTGATAATCATATGTCCCTAAGATTGTTTTCCTTTTGTGGATGAAAAAACAAAAAACTTAGCTTTTTATCCTTCCAGTGTATTCTGAATTGTGTTTATCCTGTACTAGAACTTGTTATATAACATTTGTTCTTGTAACGTAGCAACTTTTCTCCATTCTCCATTACTTTCACTGGGACTAGTTCATTTATTTTTAATACCTATATTGGCCTTAAACATTCCTCCCTGACTTGTCTTTCACACTGAAACCAGCAGCTGGTCTTTGCAGAATGCTGTTGCCTACCATCACTCTAACCTCAGTGATTTGATTTCACCTTTGTGCATATTCTCACCTTTTGTATTCACACCTTTGTGCGTATTCGTCCTCATACTTGAACTACTCAATTTTCATTCCTTTGTATATCTGAAGCTTATTCATAACAGGTCTTTAAAGCTCTGACCAAGTCTTGCCTTTTTTCCCCCCAACATTCTTACCATCCACCAAACCCTGGTACGTTGCGACCCCCCATTTCTTCCTCTATCGCTCGTTTAGCTTTTATATTGGTTGTTTTAATGTTTTGGTTGGTGCCTCTTGTGCTATGCTGAATCCCTAGAGAAGAAAATATCTCAAAAGGCATCAGACGGTTGATTCCATTTCATCTCCTTAGTGGTAGCACCTCTTATTACTTCACATAATCAAGAAAAAGTAAACATTTTGCAATGTGGTCTTAGGTTTTGATGGGTGATTCTAAACCTCGTGCTCTATGTAAGGTGGTGACATAAAAGAGCCATATTCTTATGTCCTGCAAACCCTTTAAAAACTTTATTTTTTAAGAACAGTTTGAGGTTCATGGCAGAATCAGGAGGAGTGCAAGGGGATCCCCAGATTCCTTCGGCGAACGCACAGCCTCCCCTGCTACCAGCACCTGCCACCAGAGTGATGAACAACTGGTGAAGCTACGTTGACGTGTCAAAATCACCCGGAGTCCATAGTTCACAGAGAGTCCGCTTGATGTGTGTCTTGTGGTCTTGGACAAGTGTGTCATGGTGTGTGTCCACCACTTTAGCATCGTGTCGAGCCTTTTCAGTGCGCACTGTGCTCCCTGTTCATCCCTCCTCAACCTCCCAGAGGCTTCACCTTAAAGTGAGGTGAATTAAACCCGTTTTGGAGGAGTTATTTCTTTTCTGATGTTGCTGCTGCTGTTCATCAAGTAGGATTGCAGTTAAGTATTTTGGATGCCATAGTTATAAGTCTTCTGATCTTTGAGCTCTCGAAACTGAGGATTTTTGAATTTTTAAATTTCATCCTATATGCAATCCATTTTACAGATCTAGGACAAGAGCTAGGACATTTTTCAGTGACTGGGTGTCCTAGTCTGTTTTTGCTACTATAACAAAATTTGCCATGACTGGGTAATTTATTATTAGGGAACAGAAATCTATTTCTGGGCAGGTTGGTTGTCTCCGCCTCCAAGATGGTGTCTGGACGCTGCGTTCTCTGGAAGCAAGAAGCTTTGTGTGCTCACATGGCAGAAGAGACCCCACTCCCTCAGGCCCTTCTCTGATGGCATTCATTCCCCCTCATGACTTAAAACGCATCCCCAACGCCTTCCTCTCCCAATATTGCTGACTGGGGGTTAAGTATTCAACAACGTGAATTTTGGAGAAATTCAGACCATAGCACTGGTTTTAAATTTCGTTGTTTCTTTGAGCCTGGCTTGATAGATTCGTATCAGTTTGAGTCCCATCTAGAAACAAGCCACACAGTGGCTTTTAAACAAGGAAATCTTGGCATAAAAATGTTTTAAACGATTACAAAAGATATTAAACTCTATGTGGTGCCCCAGAGTTAAAGGACACAATTGGACGAGAGGAGCCACAGATTGTGTTGGGGTCTTGCTGAAAAAAGAAGCTGTAGCCCACTGCATGGCAGTGACGGTTACTGGTTTGCCCAGACCAGCACTAGCCTTGTGTCCAGGTGAGCAGAAGCCACATTGGTGACTGAGTTTGAGCATGCAGGAGGAGCTGGCAGGACACCTGGAGCTACAGGTGTCTGTACTGGGAAGGTTGCAGCAGGTGATTGCCCCAGGCGCAGGGTCTGTGGAGTCACAGGAAGAGTACACTTTGGGAGTATGGGCTGGGGCAGGATGCCCTCAATCAGATGTCCTCACACCCAGACGTCTTAGTGATGGTGCCGCTGCCAGAAAGCGGGAGGAGAGCGAATGTGGAGCTGAGGCACTGTACCTTGAGTAGTGCAGAAGTTGTTTAA